AATTATGTATAGAAAAAAAGATACGTGTATTCAGTGTTTTTGCGTTTACTAAATCAACCGAGTCACGGAGATTGGCCTAGATTGTGCATACGACAACAAAATTTGGATTTTCGAGTTGCATTGGGTTCCTATATCATAAATACACATTTCTCTTTCAGGACTCAAGTCCAAAATATGTATAGAAAAAAAGATACGTGTATTCAGTGTTTTTGCGTTTACTAAATCAACCGAGTCACGGAGATTGGCCTAGATTGTGCATACGACAACGAAATTTGGATTTTCGAGTTGCATTGGGTTCCTACATTATAAATACACATTTCTCGTTCAAGACTCAAGTCCAAATTATGTATAGAAAGAAAGATACGTGTATTCATTGTTTTCGGGTTTACTAAATCAACTGAGTCACGGAGATTGGCCTAGATTGTGCATACGACAACGAAATTTAGATTTTCGAGTTGCATTGGGTTTCTACATCATAAATACACATTTCTTGTTCAGGACTCAAGTCAAAATTATGTATAGAAAGAAAGATACGTGTATTCATTGTTTTCGGGTTTACTAAATCAACCGAGTCACGGAGATTGGCCTAGATTGTGCATACAACAACGAAATTTGGATTTTCGAGTTTCATTGGGTTCCTATATCATAAATACACATTTCTCGTTCAGGACTCAAGTCCAAAATATGTATAGAAAGAAAGATACGTGTATTCAGTGTTTTCGGGTTTACTAAATCAACCGAGTCACGGAGATTGGCCTAGATTGTGCATACGACAACGAAATTAGGATTTTCGAGTTGCATTAAGTTCCTACATTATAAATACACATTTCTCGTTCAGGACTCAAGTCCAAATTATGTATAGAAAGAAAGATACGTGTATTCATTGTTTTCGGGTTTACTAAATAAACCGAGTCACGGAGATTGGCCTAGATTGTGCATACGACAACAAAATTTGGATTTTCGAGTTGCATTGGGTTCCTATATCATAAATACACATTTCTCTTTCAGGACTCAAGTCCAAATTATGTATAGAAAAAAAGATACGTGTATTCAGTGTTTTTGCGTTTACTAAATCAACCGAGTCACGGAGATTGGCCTAGATTGTGCATACGACAACAAAATTTGGATTTTCGAGTTGCATTGGGTTCCTATATCATAAATACACATTTCTCTTTCAGGACTCAAGTCCAAAATATGTATAGAAAAAAAGATACGTGTATTCAGTGTTTTTGCGTTTACTAAATCAACCGAGTCACGGAGATTGGCCTAGATTGTGCATACGACAACGAAATTTGGATTTTCGAGTTGCATTGGGTTCCTACATTATAAATACACATTTCTCGTTCAGGACTCAAGTCCAAATTATGTATAGAAAGAAAGATACGTGTATTCATTGTTTTCGGGTTTACTAAATCAACTGGGTCACGGAGGTTGGCCTAGATTGTGCATACGACAACGAAATTTAGATTTTCGAGTTGCATTGGGTTTCTACATCATAAATACACATTTCTTGTTCAGGACTCAAGTCAAAATTATGTATAGAAAGAAAGATACGTGTATTCATTGTTTTCGGGTTTACTAAATCAACCGAGTCACAGAGATTGGCCTTGATTGTGCATACGACAACGAAATTTGGATTTTGGAGTTGCATTGGGTTCCTACATCATAAATACACATTTGTCTTTCAGGACTCAAGTCCAAATTATGTATTGAAAGAAAGATACGTGTATTCATTGTTTTCGGGTTTACTAAATCAACCGAGTCACGGAGATTGGCCTAGATTGTGCATACGACAACGAAATTTGGATTTTCGAGTTTCATTGGGTTCCTATATCATAAATACACATTTCTCGTCCAGGACTCAAGTCCAAAATATGTATAGAAAGAAAGATACGTGTATTAAGTGTTTTCGGGCTTACTAAATCAACCGAGTCACGGAGATTGGCCTAGATTGTGCATACGACAACGAAATTTGGATTTTCGAGTTGCATTAAGTTCCTACATTATAAATACACATTTCTCGTTCAGGACTCAAGTCCAAATTATGTATATAAAGAAAGATACGTGTATTCATTGTTTTCGGGTTTACTAAATCAACCGAGTCACGGAGATTGGCCTAGATTGTGCATACGACAACGAAATTTGGATTTTCGAGTTGCATTGGGTTCCTATATCATAAATACACATTTCTCTTTCAGGACTCAAGTCCAAAATATGTATAGAAAAAAAGATACGTGTATTCAGTGTTTTTGCGTTTACTAAATCAACCGAGTCACGGAGATTGGCCTAGATTGTGCATACGACAACGAAATTTGGATTTTCGAGTTGCATTGGGTTCCTACATTATAAATACACATTTCTCGTTCAGGACTCAAGTCCAAATTATGTATAGAAAGAAAGATACGTGTATTCATTGTTTTCGGGTTTACTAAATCAACCGAGTCACGGAGATTGGCCTAGATTGTGCATACGACCACAAAATTTGGATTTTCGAGTTTCATTGGGTTCCTATATCCTAAATACACATTTCTCGTTCAGGACTCAAGTCTAAATTATGTATAGAAAGAAAGATACGTGTATTCATTGTTTTCGGGTTTACTAAATAAACCGAGTCACGGAGATTGGCCTAGATTGTGCATACGACAACGAAATTTGGATTTTCGAGTTGCATTGGGTTCCTATATCATAAATACACATTTCTCTTTCGGGACTCAAGTCCAAAATATGTATAGAAAAAAAGATACGTGTATTCAGTGTTTTTGCGTTTACTAAATCAACCGAGTCACGGAGATTGGCCTAGATTGTGCATACGACAACGAAATTTGGATTTTCGAGTTGCATTGGGTTCCTACATTATAAATACACATTTCTCGTTCAGGACTCAAGTCCAAATTATGTATAGAAAGAAAGATACGTGTATTCATTGTTTTCGGGTTTACTAAATCAACCGAGTCACGGAGATTGGCCTAGATTGTGCATACGACAACAAAATTTGGATTTTCGAGTTTCATTGGGTTCCTATATCCTAAATACACATTTCTCATTCAGGACTCAAGTCTAAATTATGTATAGAAAGAAAGATACGTGTATTCATTGTTTTCGGGTTTACTAAACAAACCGAGTCATGGAGATTGGCCTAGATTGTGCATACGACAACGAAATTTGGATTTTCGAGTTGCATTGGGTTTCTACATGATAAATACACATTTCTTGTTCAGGACTCAAGTATAAATTATGTATAGAAAGAAAGATACGTGTATTCATTGTTTTCGGGTTTACTAAATCAACCGAGTCACAGAGATTGGCCTAGATTGTGCATACGACAACGAAATTTGGATTTTGGAGTTGCATTGGGTTCCTACATCATAAATACACATTTGTCTTTCAGGACTCAAGTCCAAATTATGTATAGAAAGAAAGATACGTGTATTCATTGTTTTCGGGTTTACTAAATCAACCGAGTCACGGAGATTGGCCTAGATTGTGCATACGACAACGAAATTTGGATTTTCGAGTTTCATTGGGTTCCTATATCATAAATACACATTTCTCGTTCAGGACTCAAGTCCAAATTATGTATAGAAAGAAAGATATGTGTATTCATTGTTTTCGGGTTTACTAAATCAACCGAGTCACGGAGATTGGCCTAGATTGTGCATACGACAACGAAATTTGGATTTTCGAGTTGCATTGGGTTCCTACATCATAAATACACATTTCTCGTTTAGGACTCAAGTCCAAATTATGTATAGAAAAAAAGATACTTGTATTCAGTGGTTTTGCGTTTACTAAATCAACCGAGTCACGAAGATTAGCCTAGATTGTGCATACGACAACGAAATTTGGATTTTCGAGTTGCATTGGGTTCCTATATCATAAATACACATTTCTCTTTCAGGACTCAAGTCCAAAATATGTATAGAAAAAAAGATACGTGTATTCAGTGTTTTTGCGTTTACTAAATCAACCGAGTCACGGAGATTGGCCTAGATTGTGCATACGACAACAAAATTTGGATTTTCGAGTTTCATTGGGTTCCTATATCATAAATACACATTTCTCGTTCAGGACTCAAGTCTAAATTATGTATAGAAAGAAAGATACGTGTATTCATTGTTTTCGGGTTTACTAAATAAACCGAGTCACGGAGATTGGCCTAGATTGTGCATACGACAACGAAATTTGGATTTTCGAGTTGCATTGGGTTCCTACATCATAAATACACATTTCTCGTTTAGGACTCAAGTCCAAATTATGTATAGAAAAAAAGATACGTGTATTCAGTTGTGAGGTGAACATCACGTTTCAACTTTCAACAGCTCGACAAATGCCGACAATCGAACAACCGCACTCACACAGCCGGCAAATGTTCCATGAGTACGAAAGCTAAGCGATGAGTATGTGATAGATGGAAAGTTTTGTAGACCATCGGCCTGAATCTCTAACCGATGAGTAAGGTAGTGGTTTGTCGAAATTGGAGTGTATATAGGATGGGTTTGGGCTGTTGGGTAGGCTAGGTAATTAGGCATTTAATTATACGTATTGAATTTTGTTGTTGGGTCAATTCTTGAAGGATTGGGTTTCAATTCAACCTGTCTATTTGATTTTAAAGCCAAGCCCAAATAATCCCAATTAAGTTGTCAACATTTTTAGTTTAATAATAATAAGGTGCCAAACTTTGTCCATTTGGAGCTCGGAATATTTTAGGCAAATAATTTGAAAGGAAACATTGTGGCAAGTAAAAGTGTAAATCATTGGTTCGAACTTGCTCAAACTCATTTTATCTATCTATTCATTTATTTATATATTTCTTTTGTATTGAGACCAAGGAATCTAAGCATATGTAAAAAATTAAGAAAAAATATACACCATTTTCCTTTTGTATTTACTGTGGTAAAACCAAGACAGAAAATAACTCCTTTTCTTTTCCTTGGCATTTCCAGGATGTATACATTCACTATGAAAATAACATAAGCTCCTAAATGAGACATTGGACTCGATAAAAACATGGACCCTGATCCACTGTAGTAACTCTACAGGGAAGGTTCAGATTGATGTGGAGTAATTGAGTAACCAGCCTCATCTTCCAAATCCATCTTGACCATCGCTGACAGTTGTTCCATAAAGAATCTTTATTTATCAAGAATTGGTTTTCTTGATACTACAAAACCTGAATGATGTCTAGGGGAAAAAGGATGATACTTCACAATTCTACATAACACACAACAGTATATCTCTTCTGCCAGAGACAAGAACTTCTGTGATTCTGTGGGACCATAACCGGAAGCCCCTAAAGCTAGCATGCCTGGAGCAAAGCATGCAAGCGCATCCATCTGCAAACCAGTTGGGGAAAAAGACTCAAAAAAAAAAAATGGAACATGACTTTAAAATGAGAAATCAATAGAGCGGTTGAAGAAGAAGAAAATGCACCAGCCCAAAAGAAGATTAATAACAAGTCACCTTGTCAGTAAAAGAGCTTCCAATCTTCTCACGCAGATATGTAAAACATGGAGTAGTCCTTCGAACTAAGCTAAGAAGGCCATTCATTGAAGTCTCCCACATTTTTCTGTTTCCAATACTTAACCGATACATGAATATTGCACTTGAGGAAGATTTGTTACATCACTTTAGCAAAAGTCACTCACTATACATTACGTTTCTGTTTAGCTCAACAGAAGACAGATAAATCACATCCATTAGTGATGAAATTGCCCAAGTTTCAACCTACGCCTCCTAAATACTCCAGGACTAAAAATGTCAAAAGTCTTAGCCCCACAGTGGAGGAAAACTAATGGAGTTAAAAGTATTAAAATGGGGAAGCCAGACATAAATTGGGAGTAGCCATCATATCCACCAGACTCGTATATAACTCCCCTAATTTGGGGGATTTGGGGAATTTATATTCTCTTAATTTCTTTCACCAATTTTTAAGAAAATTGTTTTACGGTATTATTGTTGTTATGCATGTAGACTCATACTCTGTACATTATGAATTACAACAAACATTATATCAAAATACGGTGTTTAATGAAAAATGAATATGATAAATCCTTCCCACTCTTTCGTTGTTAGGATGTTTTTAGTTGGACTGTAATTTGCTGGTCTGGTCTGATCTGATCTGGTCCGGTCTGGTCTGAATTGGTCTGGTCTGGTCTGGTAAGGTCCGGTTTCTTTGTATTTTTATAACTATCCAAGTCTGGTCTGGTCTGGGGCAAATTACAGTCCAAGTAAAAACATCCTTAATCATACTAGATTAATTGTTTTCACCACCTCCATTTAACATATTTCCCCGTAGGTCATTGTTTATTTGGGAACATAATAATAGCCAATGTCTTTGACTTAAATCCCAACCCACCCATATACCTATGAGTGTATAGAACTCCTCCTTGTTCAAATCAATTATCATAAGGACACCACCCGGTCCTAGATCAATAAAATGTAATCTATGAGTTTTGAGGATACACGCCCGATCCTTGGGTAGGTACTCCACCCTATAATCGAGTTTTGAGGATAACCGCCCGATCCTTGGGTACTCCACCCTATATAACCGAGTCTTGAGGATAACCGCCTGATCCTTGGGTACTCCACCCTATATAACCGAGTTTTGAGAATAACCGCCCGATCCTTGGGTACTCCACCCTATATAACTGAGTTTTTAGGATAACCGCCCGATCCTTGGGTACTCCACCTGACCTATGACTTACCACATATCACACTAGATAGGGTCTATATCATATTATTACTAAAGACTAAACCAAGCCTTAGAATTCAATCAATAGGTATCAACCTTGACATTTAAATATTATATTCCATGCAATTTCATGCATAATATACTTATATGGGATGGCCGGGGTTAATCCCTCCTTCGAACCGGACCCCGGACCGCATTTTCGGCGGAATTGGAATTCGGTGGCAGCAGCTTAACCGGCACCGGTTAGGCCCTATAACCGGCGCCGGTTATGTCCGGGGCTTTGGGTCAACGGCCCGTTGACCCCCGAGTTGACCCCCGAAACGTGCTCTGTTTGGCCCGAAATTTTTATACAACATATATCATGTCTAAAACAACAAATAAATGCCATTTTGGTCATCCAAAACATTGCAAATGTTTTTATACATTTTTCATACTTTTCACATGCATAACCATGTTGTTTCATTCACATATGCCTATTTACCTTGGCCAATTACATGTTTAAACTCTCTTAAACATCATTATGAATACATATAACATTTATTTAGGTAATCTCATACTTAACCCAAGAGTTATAAGACATTAAGCCGTCCACTCACCTCGAATGAACGTTATGAAGTTCTACCCTTCTCGGTTGAACTCCGGCGAACTTTGACGGACTCCGGTGATAACTCCGGCGACTTTTTCAACTTCGTGAAAGCTCTTAAATCACCCTTGACAAGTGCCTAACAAGGTTTTATCATCACAAAACCCATATCAAAACAAATAACCTCTAAAAGGTTATTTTCCGGCGAACCGGTCTCTTTGGCTTCTAAGTCCGTTCTTGGACTTAGAACCACCTTTCAACCCATTGTTCTACACTTTGGGCGTGTAGAACCATCCTAGGGGTACTTCATATGTGACATAAAGGTCACATGAAGTTCCATGAGAGAAGAAAAGTTACTATGGAGTCATTACCTTAATTATCCAAGCTTTTCCTCACTTTTTTTTTTTTTTTATCCCGGAAGGCAAACCACCAAAATCAGTGGGGCAAATGCCGGGAGTCAGATGCCATTATTTTATTAGAAGAAGTGAGTACAGGAGAGAGGGGGACTAGACCAAAACCTCTCCCGAAGTAACAAGAGAATGATAAAAAAGAAGACTAAGTAAATCTGATAGAGGGCAGCCCATAAAAGACCATGAAGAAAGCTCGCTTGGCCAACACGGGTAAAGTATTTGGGCCGCTGAAAATTGTAAGCTGATCCGAAGTGCCTAGTGCGAGGTAATGTGCAACCCAGTTGCTCTCACGAAGAGTATGTCTGAACCCGATTTTCCTGTTTCCTAAAAGAAGCATGGTTTCCTGAATCTCCTCTTTCCATTTGCGAGCTTCAATCCCTAAAATGAAGGAGATAGCCTCTCGACAATCAGACTCCACCTGAAACTCACTAAAACCGTTCTCAATCGCCCATTTTGTAGCATACAGGACTGTTCGGAGCTCTGCTTCTATGGAAGACGAGGCAGCCACCGGAAATCTAATGCCGAAGAGCATGGATCCAGTACTTGATCGCATAATCGCTCCGCCCGTAGCTCTGCCAGGTAAAAACGAGGCATCCGTGTTTAGTTTCATACCTGTAATCGGCTTCACCCATCTGATAATCTTAAAGGTTCGTCCAGTTAGCCTGTAATTTCTTGGAATCAAATTTTCATCAAGTAGCAAATCTTCAATTGAAGAACTCTTAGAAACTTTCAAGGAGTATATCCACTGCTGTGTAAAATACTTAGTTTGTCGAATTATATATGTGGAAGTAGTATTACAATCTCCCGGACCCCAAATACAGTTAGAATAAACTTTCCAAATATTCCAACATATGATGCCCGGGAGATTGTGCTTAAAAATGTCTTCCAATTTTTTACTCCCTGCTTTTAACCACCAAGAGATCAAGACCTGTCGAATTGTATTAGGCTCAGGTGGAATTGGAATACCAAACAAGCCCATGAAATAGCTCCACACAGAAAAAGAAACTCTACATTGGAAGAATAGATGATTAACATTATCCTCCCCTCCCCTACAAATTGGACAGATAGATGGATTGAGAACCATCATAAATCTCTGAAGATTATCAGTAGATGGGAGAATATTATTTAAGAGTTTCCAAAGGAAAATTTTTATTTTCAGTGGCTGATTTGTATTCCAAACCTGCTTGTGAGTAAAAGTTGTAACAGATTCTTCTCTGATGTAATTGTAGGCTGATTGTAGGCTAAAGTTCCCAGAATTTTCCAATGTCCAGTAAATTTCTCCAACTTGATTTGCTGAACAAATTGAAAGAGCATCTGAGTTAACATCACAAATCCTTCTCCAGGTGGCAGAATCAGTAATCTTAGGTATGAAATTTCCTGCTCTAGGATATCTATCATTAATGAAAGCATTCCAAAGAGAATTCCCTGTTTTCCACTTCCACCAAAGTTTAAGAGTAAAAGCTTTCTCTAAGTCAGACAGTAATCTAATTCCTAGACCCCCCTCCTCAGTAGGAAAGCATAATTGAGACCATTTCTTCCAGTGATATTTGTTTTTATGGCTAGAGGACCCCCAGAAAAAATCAGCCATTTTGCTCTCAAGTATTTTAATCACCTTCTTGGGTAAAGTGTCTGTAGCAAGGATGTGAAGAGGAATAGAATTAAGAACATGTCTTATTAAGACCAATCTTCCCCCCTGGGATAAGTTCTTCTGTCTCCAAGGACTCAATTTATTTTCAAATTGTCTGATTAATTGAGAACAATATTGGTAACGATTTACTCCTTTATGCAGGCTCACCCCCAGATATTTCATTGGCAGTGAAACCAATTTCATGTCAAGAGCATTCTTAATACTATGTCTCCTAGCTTCCAAGCTTTTCCTCACTTTTTCTCTCTTCAATCTTCCCTTTTAGACCTTGCCTTCTCCAGCTCGATTTTGGCTATGGAACAATGATGTTTCAGAGCTTCCTCTATTCTTTCTTTGTGCTTAGGCCGAACACAATGTTGAGGGAGGGGGTTGAGAGCTTGTTTTGTCTCAAATGCTCCAATGAGTGATGAGAGGGCCCTTTGGTTGTCAACCATGTCTCACCCATCCACTCTTACATCAACCCCATGCTCCACAGCCCCCAACTCAAGTATTCAGCACACAAAAATGTGGGGTGGCCCCCACTCATGTGGGAGGTCATCCCAACTTGTCCCGATTTGTACATTCGGCCCCGAAAGTTGTATCTTTCGGACTGTTTTAGTTATATTTTATTTTACCGGGTCAAATAAAATATATTACATGATCACAATCATTATGGATCTTAAGAGTAAATATACATTCCCCAACTTTACTTTAAAAGTCTCTGAAATTCATTTCGGGTTGTTATCTGATAAATTGCCAGTACCGGTAATTGGGCTCTGTTTGACCAACCTGTCAACCCAATACCTTTCTTATGGCCCAACATGAATTTCCACCACCATATAACTATTATCTAGGCCAAGATGAATATAATATGTGGTCCCGTATTATTGGGTTACCCCTCGCTTCGTGTGTGGGCCCCACGCGGAATTTACTATTCACGCAAAAGAAGTAACAAAAAATTTACAACCTCGTAAATTCATTACTCAATAAACCATGTTCAATACATAATTTACATAAAGGTAAAAAATATTTGGGGACGGTGTTACAAGTTCACCCCCCCCCTATTTGGGATTTCGTCCCCGAAATTAACGTGTCTAATCGAAAAGAAACGGGTATTGCTCCCTCATTGAGACCTCGGTCTCCCAAGTTTCTTCTTCGACTCGATCACTCCTCCAAAGTACCTTCACCATAGGAATCTCCTTGTTCCTAAGCTTCTTTACATGTTGGCCCACTATCTTTACCGGTTCTACTGCATATTGCAAGTCCTCTCGGATCTCCACCGGTGGTTTCTCAAG